CACTAAGTCTGCACTGCTCTGTCTGCAAGCATTTTAACAAATCCCGCATGCACGCTAGTCCGGAAAACTTCAAGGCCTGGCAACCCTGGGTCTCAGTCCCCATCCTCCCTCCCTCCCTCCCTCCCTTCCTTATTCATTTCTCCTCCATTAGTCGTTGTGCTTCAGGGGTGTATCACTTACGAAAGTTGCTTTCTCCTACTGGAGACACAGACAACAGATAAATAAAAAATAAGAAGTAATTCCACCTTGGCAACGTGCTGGGAAGGCAGTTGTGACGACGAGGAAGCTGGGGCAGGACAGCAGCGTTGGGAGCCTTCCAGAACCGTGCCCAGCCCAGCTCACGCCCACCCACGGCCGCCTCTTCACAGGACTCCCTTCCTGAGGTTAGTGTGCACCTGCGCAGAAGCACCTCGTGTGCCCCTACACAGTGCCCCTACCCCCACCCCAGCACCTAGCACAGTGCCTGACATGCAGCAGGCATTCAGGAAGTTGTCCAGTGATGGTGACGGTAAAAAGGCGGCCAACGGACGGGCACTGCAGGGCAGGGAGCGGTGAGCCCGAAGGGCCTGTGGCAGGAGATGCAAGGTGTCCATCATGCCCGCACGGCCCCACCGTGGCCCCCACTTCTGAGAAATGTGCCCCTTCCCTACCCCTGTGTTCTAGTTCATCTTGTTCTCCATCTCTAGTTCCCCTTAGGCAAGTTGCTTTATTTAAAAAAAAAATTTTATTGATTGATTTTAGAGAAAGGAATGGGGAGGGGGGGAGAGAAATATCCATTTGTTATTCCACTTACTGATGCATTCGTTGGTTGATTCTTGTACGTGCCCTAATCTGGGATCGAACCCACAAACTTGGCTTATTGGGATGATGCTCTAATGAGGTAAGCTAGCCAGCCAGGGCCTTAGGCAGGTTTCTAAACCTCCCTGCGCTCCTTCTCTCCTCTGTACACCAGAGACGATGATAATGTTATTGCCTCATTGCAGTGAGAATGTATGAGCAATACCCACGGGCCTGTGAGGACAGTGCCCCGCACGTGGCCCCTGGTCACTGCTGGCTCGGCTGTCAGTGCCGGTCCGCCCTCCAGTCTGCTTTCCGAGAGTCGCTGTGAAAAATGAGTTTGCTAAGTATGCAAAATGCAGTGTGGTGTCCTGGACTGGATCCTGGAATGGGAAACGGGCCTTGTGGAAAAACTGGGGACATGCAAAACCGTCTGCAGTTTAGTTCACAATAAGGTCCCAGTGGTGCGACTGCGGTCACATAAAAGGAAACAAAAACGATCACCCCGGGGAAGCTGCATAAGGCAGCAGGCGGGACTCTGCACAGCCTTCGCCCCTTCTCGGTGAATCTCAAATCGCTGCAAAATAGCTTATTTAGAAACAATACAATTTTTAAATTTAAAAACAAACTAAAAAAATTTTAAAAACAACATAGTTGGTCATGTTACTCCTCTGTATAAAAATGTTGGGATAGCCAAGGAGAGCCAAGGATAAAATCTAAACTCTGCAGCATAGCAGAAGACTCCTCCTCCCCTGGCCCTCGCTGGCTACATTTCTCTGCGCCTTGGTCTCTTCGTCTGTAAAGTGGGGATAAGCCCTGGTTGGGCAGCTCAGTCGGTTAGAGTGTCGTCCTGATACACCAAGGTGGTAGGTTTGATCCCTGGTCAGGGTGCATACAGGAAACAACCAATGAACCATAAGTGAGTGGAACAATAAATTGATGTTTCTCTCTCTCTCTCTCTCTCTCTCTCTCAAATCAGTATGTTGTTAAAAATTAAAGAAAAATTTTTTAAAATAGGGGTAAATGATTCTTGACATTGTATTAAATAAGTTAACAGGAACGAAGCACGTGGTACAGTATCTGGCACACAGGTCCACAGTCGGTGGGAAAGGAATAGAGGTCTGAGTCAGGAGGAAACTGAAGCTGCAATGCTGCGGGCTTTGAAGACAGAGAAGGGGCCGTGAGTCAAGGAGTGTGACCAACCTCCCGAAGCTGCGGAGGACAAGGAGCCTCCAGCTGGAGCGCAGGTAGATTTTATCCTCGTAAGACCCAATTTCAGACTTCTAGCCCCCAGAGCTGTTCATGGATGAATTTTGCGGTGATCTGCTACACCAGCGCAGGAAACTGATACATATTCTAATGCACTGCCTGATATAGAGCAGAAGCTAAGGTGAGAAACTGTTCTCCTCCTTGCCTTTCCCCAAGCAGGCCCTGTACCCCAGGGCCTTTCCATACGCTATTCCTCCCCTGGGGAGCCCTTCCTTCCCTCTCTTCTCTGTCTGGCCAGATCGCTCTCCCTATTTTTCCAAGACTATGATTCTCTCATACCCCTGAGCTTTCAAGTGTTCTCCCAACCCCAAGAGTCAAGTTCATCGTCTCCCCATAGCTTTCTTCTCTTCTCTTTTAGCGTTTATCACAGACTGTAATTATTTGGGTGATTCTTCTTTCAGCTCTGCTCCCCAGACCGTGAGGTTCTTTGTAGCTCAGGTGAAATGCACCCACTGCAGGGTGCTCCGGCAGCGAGTCTGCTTAGATGGATAAACGAACGAGAGAAGGGGTGACTGAGGCCACGAAAGAGGGGTGGGACTCGGCCAGCCAGGGTTGGTGGCAGAGCCATCCATTTCCTCACCATGGTTCGGCACTGTGCGTTCTGGTTATCGAAGGGCTTGGGGGCCAGAGGGCAACAGTAACAGTCTGCACTGCAGAGAACGCCAGCGTAGGAGGTTGAAAAGCCAATAAAAATATTTGGAGTGAACTTTTAATTTACAATAGTTTGGGAGTTACAGAAAAGTTGCAAGGACAGGAAACAGACTTTGTGCATGTCCAGCACCCAGCTTCCGCTGTGCTTAACATTTCATATTAATGAGTCCGTTTGTCACAACTGATGGACCGCCATTCATACATTAATATGCCATTTTTAACTGAAGTCCATATTATGCAGGTTTTCTTGGTATTCCCTTGATACCCTTTTTCTGTTCCAGGACCCCATTTAGGATACCACATGACATCTAGCCTTCAGCTCTCCGGGCTGTGAGTTTCTCAAACATTCCTTGTTTTTGATGACCTTACATTGAGGAGTCCCGCTCAGGTATGTTGTAGGGTGCCTTCAGTTTGGGTTTTTCTGATATTTTCCTTATGACTACAGTGGAATTGTGGGTCTTTTGCAGGGAAAGACCCCGGAGGCACGGTGCCCTTCTCGTGACATCGTCACAAAGTCCACACTCTAAAGCTGAGCGTGGTCACCTAGCTGAGCTACTCTTTGCCAGGTCTCTCCTTAGTTGTTATTTTTCTACTTCCCATACTGTGCTCTTTGAAAGAGCGTCACTAAGCACAGTACTCAATGAAGGGGCAGGGAATTATGTGCCACCTCCTTGAGGGAAGAAGAGCTAATATACACTATTTGGAACTTTTTCGACTTCTCTAGTCTATTTATTTGCTCAGTCATTTATTTATATCAGTATGAACTCGGGGGTATTTATTTTCTACTTTGGATTATAATCCGATATGATTTATTTATTGTTGTTGCTCAAACTGTTCCAACAAGACCTCACTGAAACAGAATTTAAAGGCGTCCTAGCTGTAAGTTCTGAGATGCAAGAAGAAAAGACAAGCAGAGAAACTGGTAATTGTGTGTTTGAGTCTAAACTAACATTGACTGTCTAAAACAACTTACTAATAACTCATGGGGTGAAAAAGGAAAGGATTAAACTTACAATACACTACGATTAAAGCATACAGTTGAGAGGGTGGGTGATTACAGTATCGCAAAGTCCTTATATTTTAAGAAAGCAAAGATATTTTAAAAACTGGACTTTGTGAGTACCCATGTGAAAATTTCTAGGGTAATCGCTAAAACAACAGAAATAGGGTATATGTAAAATAAGAAAAATGGAATTAAAAATATCAGCCCTAAAGAAGCAAGAAAGGAGTGGAAAAAAAATAGGCTTGACAAATAGGAAGCACAAAATAAGGCGGTAGCAATAAATTCTGATATATCAGGAAATATAATAAGTGTAAATGGACCAAATGATCTAGTTAAAAGACAAAGATCATCTTAAAACAACCGCTTTTTATTATGAAAAATTTCAAATACACAGAAAAACGGGAATAGTACGAAGAACATGTGCCTGCAATTACAGAGTGAGCATTGTTAACTATTTGCTACGTTTGTTTCATCTGTTATATATAGGAGACTATTAACACATATTTTCTTTGGTAAACCTTATATTATGGAGTAAAATTTAGATGGCAATAATGAGGCAGTGCTCACTTTTGAGGCCAGGCAGACCTGGGTTTCCAGGAATTTTTAATCACGTAACTTATTTGTGTGGTTATTGACTCAAAGGCTGTCTCTTCAATGGATTCTAGGGAGAGGGTAGGAACCAGGTCAACTTTCCTGGTCATTGCATTTCTAAGTATTTGTAAGCATCTATTAGTAAAGGATTCAGCACAGTGCTTGCTACATCGTAAACATGTAATATAGCATAGCTTTTATTTTAGCTGTTGCTGTTGTTATTGAAAGCGTACACCATAGTGGCACAAAATAAACAAGCAATAATTGGCAACTATTTATACTTACTGCTTTTCAAACTGCACAGTGCCTCGTACACATAGTTCACCCATAAACATGTTTATAATGAGAATAAATAATACTTTCATTACTATTCAAAGTCTCTAACAGTGCCTGTCACTACATATGCAGGGGAAAAGTGGAAGTTTATTGTTATTAATTATTATTATTGAATAAAGCACTTAACACAACTGATGGTCCCCACGGGCCCTGGAAAAACAGTCTTCGCAGAGGCTGTCCTCATTTCTACGCTTCTTGGGCACGCCCCTCCACCAGTCCAGCGCGGCGCTCCGCCCCTTTCGAGCCCCGCCCCCGAGGCCAGCGCCGCGCCTGCGCACTGCTCCTAGAGAAGTTCCGGGAGCGCAGGTTCCCGCCGCCCGGTTGCGCGAAGGTCCTAGCCAGCCAGACTGCTGCGTGCGTGCGTGCGTGCGTGCGTCGCCGTGTGCGTCGCTGCGTGCGTGCCGTGCGCTCGCCGGGCACCGCGGCCTCGCCCTCGCCCTCCGCCCCTGCGCTTGCACCGCGTAGGCCACCCCCCCCCCTCCGCGCGCACCCCGCAGCGACCCCCGCCCGCGCCCCGGCCGGCCCCCCCTTCCCAAATTTAAAGGGGGCGCAGCATTAACTCCTCCCGCCTCAGGTGACCTCTCAGGGGTCTCCCCGCGAGAGGTGCCCCGCCGCTGAGGAACATGGCGAAGGTGGAGCAGGTCCTGAGCCTCGAGCCGCAGCACGAGCTCAAATTCCGAGGTAAGCCGGAGGCCGGCCGCCTTCGGCCGCAGGCCAGGCCCTGCCGCCCTGCGCCCCCGCCCGCGCTCCGGAGGGACCGGCCGGCGCGGCGGTGACGTCGGCCCCCGCCCGGCCCGCAGCCCCCGCCCCCGCCCGACGGCGCGCGCGCCCCGCGCCCCCCGCACTGGCGAGGGCCTCCTGCACCCGAAGGCCCTGCGTCCGGGTGCCCGGGTGCGTGAGGCGGTGCCGCTCCTCCTCCCCAGAGCCTCCCCGTGCGCGCCTCGCCCTCCAGCCACTCGGCACAGTTGCCATTTTAACTTACTGTCGAGTTTTGTGGGATTCCGCTCGCGAAGGCGAGCCTCGGTGCCAGCCTGCGAGGTTCTTCGCTGCGCTCCGCGAGGTTGACGGCTTCAGGTCTTAGGTCAGATGTCACCTCCCCGGGGGGGCTGCCCTGAGCGGCCGCCCCACCTGGACACGCAGCCAGTCCCTGTCACGTCGCGGCTCTGCGGTCCGCACGTATTTCCCACCCCCCCGAAAGGACCGTTGTACCCGCTTGTGTACTGCGTTTCCGCACTAGAAGGGAAGCTCCATGAGGGCAGGATCTGGCCTTCTCTGCCGGAGGCCCAGCGCTTATGTGGGCCGCCAGCGAAGGAACGGTGCTTCCGCGGGAGTGCGATGGCACGGGCCCCGCCGTCCTCTGCCGTCTCCTCAGCCTGTTGCTCGTGTCAGTGCGGCCGCGGGAAAGCTGCGGGGGTGGGAGATGCTTTTTCTCCCCGGAGCTGCCTGGAGCAGGAGCCCGAGGCAGCCTGGCCGGCTGCGAGTGTTCGGGGAGGCCAGGGCGCTTCCCCGCGGGGTCCTGTGCGGGGTGGCCAGGCTTTGGGCCTCTCTGCGCCACACTGGCAGAGGAGTAGTTGTCCTGGGCCAGACATTAAATATGTTGCGACATGTAACCACGAATAGTTTTTAAGTATTGCGTTGGGCCGCATTCACAGCCTCGGCCTGCGGGCCACAGGGCGGATACCCCTGCGTGAGAGTTTCCATGTTGCTTTTCCCGCTGCCTTCGTTCTTCAGTAAAATATAAGCGCCGCGGGACCACAGGGACCTCGTCTGACTTACCCAGGCCTGCTCTCCACGTGCGCTGAGGCACTGGAGCGACAACCAGCGGAGCAGACAGGCGAGGTCCCTGCTCTCAGAGCTTCCCGTCTAACGGGGGGAGACACGCCGCAGGCGCGGCTCTTCCCGGCAGTGGTCCGTGCTGTGAGGGGGTAACAGGCTGGCCGATGCGCGTGTGCTGCAGGTGGAATGGCCAGTCCCCACGCTGTCGCCAGCACTTGGCCCGCGGTAGGAGCTCAGTAGGTATTTGTGGACTGAGTGCTGGCCAGATACCCAGCTGGCAGAGGGTGCATTTGAACCCAGACTTCGGAGCTCAGGCTCTGGACAAGCACCTGGCTGCCTGACCTCTGGGAAGCACTCCACAATGGGGGCTGTCCCTTTGCCCCCAGGAGAGCGATTCAGAGTGACTCCCAACGTATAGGGAACCAGAGGTTTTCCATTTAAAGTGAAAATAAAGCAAAAACAAAACCCACCACGAAACCTAACGTGCATTATAATCCCGTGAGCATCCTTTGGCTTACGTGATGTTCTCCTGGCCTGGGGGAGCTGGGCTGGAAGGGAACCCAGGCAGGGACTGTGGAGGGAAGCCTGACGTGGCTCCTCTTGGAATCAGCACTTTGACGCATGTGGTCCACAGACATGTCCTGAGTGCCTGCTCCGTGTGTCAGGTACCAGCAGAAGATGAGTCCCATCACATGCGTGCCCTGATGGTCCCTCAACCCCCCACCCTGGAGCTTAAGTCCAGGGGAGGGGACAAAAGACAGAATTGGCCGGGACAGTGCAGTGACTTAGGGTAATCCAGAGCACTCAGCGGTAAGGAGGTCAGCTTCTCAAAGAGGTGTCATTCGAGCTGAGTTTAAAGGTCGAGTGGGAGCAGCTGAAAGAAGAAGTGGGCGGGGAGGGCGTCAGGTAGGGGAAGTTGCATGGGATGGCTGAGCTGACTGGGCTCCTCTGGGTGCCCCTGGTAGTTCTGAAGGGTAGGCCAGGAGCATTTATTGGGGTCACAGGGCAAAGTGCAGGAGGCTGGCTGGTAGATGGCTCAGACCTTCTAAGGCCTTCTGTGCACAGATGCAGCTGGTGTCCGAGGTCATGTTGTGATGCTTCTCCTTAGTTGGTCCTCCTTTGATTGATCCCTTGCAACTCAGCCCCTCCCCCTGCCTCCTGTATTGCCCTGGGCCAGGCACTTCCCTAGCCAAAGCCTGGGATCATTCCCTAGTGACAGGCGGGGGTGGGGGGGGGGGGGGGGCTGGTTGGGAGGGGAGTGTTGCTCAAAGCTACCTTGCCTCCTGTAGAAAGCTTTGTTATTGTTTAGAAGACATTGTAAATGCACAATATTATACAGAGATTTATTATTGTATTTAGACAGTTCATCTTTTAAGCTTTTTTACTTAAAAGATATAGCAGAGAAAAGTGAATTCTCTGGCCTTGGGTTGGCCAACGTAATGATGGCCAAAGTCACTGAGTGTTTTCGCTAGGAAAGTGGCCCAAGAGAAGTCGTGGTGTCAGATTGTTGAAGGCTGTTGGCTCATGACTTCCAATGAGGCATGTGCGTCATGTGTAAACCACTCGATGAGATCGTTTGTTTTAAGCTGATCGCTAAAACAATGAAATTAAAGGAGAAGCTCAGTACCCTGGCTGTATAGAGATTGCTCGTTTCCGGATGAGAACTGTCTGGTTTCTTCCAGGTCACTGTGGGTGATGACTCTGACTTCGGGTGGCTCACTTAGGTAAGGAATCAAACTTGTATGCTGACTTCACCTGAGAAGGTAATAGTGAAAATGCCTGTCACCCAAAGGAAAAATTAATCAGCTTTTAAGTGTAGCCCAGGATGATACAGGACTGTGTACGTTGGGTTCTAGTCAATCTTGGGCGTTTTGTTTGATGATGTTGAAGTTAAGGGGGGTATTGTGGAAGAAGGGAGAACACAGGCTTGCGTGACCTTGTGCAGTCTTACAGGAAGTGCCGTGCTGCACCGTGTTCAGGACCAGAAGGAGAAAGACTGCTGGCGTGACGCTATGATGTCGGCTGTGGGGAAATAGGAAGGCGCTCCTTTGGACAGGGGTGGGGGACCTTTCTGAAGGACTTAGGGGTTTCTGGAAGCCCGTGGCACGTGTGCTCTGTGCTGTCACGCTGTCGACCTCACTCCTTCCAAGGCCTGATGCTGGCCTTCCCTCCCCTCTCTCTGAGGTCCCGCTTGCTGCCCAGCCCAGAGAAGGCTTCCTGCATGAGTCACTTCAGGGTGTCTGCCATCTCTTCTTTCTCCTCTCCCTTCCCTTCCATCGGATTGCACCCACGGGAAATAGTATGTCTTCTCTTTTATTGGTTATTGTCCAAGACTGTTAATCCCTCTCCACGTCCTGGCACATCTCTCCTCCCACCACCGTGATGCTCGCGTGAGAATTACCTTTAGTCATCCTTGTGAGCTGAGAACCTCAGGCTTAAACCAACTGTGCACCCGTTTACCTTTGCTTTATTCTGAGACTAAACCAGTGGCCCCTAAGAAGTCTCAGATGGGCGTGCAGTTGGTCAGGGTGGCTATCAGGTGGGATATCATCGATGGACTGGTGTGGCTGGGTACCACCCTGGGGGGGAAATAGGAATGTGGGTACTGTAGAGGAGACATAGGTTGCAGATACTGTCTTTTGCATAAAGAAATCGTGTGTAGAATCATTAGTTCACTCCCTTAAGTTAATATGTAATTTAACATTGTTTAGGAAGCAAAAACATAAAATGCTATAGATATAGTCAGTTCAATGCAGTAATTATCTTTCAGATGCTAAGCACAGCATTAATTCTTTAGTTTTAGCATGGCACTGATTTCCTTAACATTTCATGATCACAAAGAGCAGACTGTTCTACAGTGCAAAAAAATGTCAGAAGTATGCTCAAGATTCTCCACTGCTGTGGGTTGAATCTGTCCTGAGTAGATTGTCTTCTGTTTACTTAACTGTTAACCAGCTTGCGCATCAGAAGCAAGTGGCATTAAACTTACTGAACTTGAGTCAGACTTAAATCTTCATAGATTATACTCTTACGAGTTTTGTTCCTGGGGGGGAAAAAGAACTAGAAGTTAACTCTCTTTTATTTTCTACCTTTCTTTTTCTTTTTAAAAGGATTTTATTTACTTGTAAAGACAAGGGAAGGAAGGGAGAAAGGGAGAGAAGTATCAGTGTATTCGAGTTACATGGTTGCCTCTCGCTCACCCCCAATCGGAGACCTGGCGTGCAACCCAGGCTCGTGCCCTGGCCTGGGATCCAACTGCCAATCTTTAGGTTTGCAGGTCAGCACTCAATGCACTGAGCCATACCAGCCAGGGATATTCACTTACTTTCTTCACACTGAACTCCTTAGGGAAAAAGCGGTTCCTTCCCGGCTGTAGCCTTACACAGTCCTTGGGAAACAGTGATGGTTCTTTGCTGAGTGCGGTTGTGATGTGTGTCACAGGCATCTTCATGATTGCCTGGTAGCTCTGCATCCAGGTGTGGGTTTACTAAAATAATTAGCCTGGACTGATGCTTGTTGAAGAGACGAACTTCTAAATATTATTAATACTACCTTTTTAAAAAATAACCTGGTGTTTTTCCTTCCAGTGTTGAAGGCACAGCACTTTTTACTTTGATGCTACAATGTTACCACTCAGTAGGAGAGAATCGGGAGGAGTCAGTGGCACTGGTTATCAGTCAAACATTGCTCCCAGGCTCAATTTTTAGACCTCAAAACTTTAGTTTTGTGTAAGGAATTATCTCTAAGATTGCTTCATACATCCCCCATTTGTATTTGAAAAACTTGCCATCTGAAAGATGACCATGATTTGGGACAAACGAACGCAGCTTTCAGCAAGGTGACAAGAAAGAGGAACAGAGAGTGCTGAGTTCCATTAGTCAAGACAGGGCTGCCACACAGTGTCT